ATAATAATAATAATAATAATAATAATAATAATAATAATAATAATAATAATAATCACAATAATAATAATCACAGATCCAAGCAGTGCGGCTTTTTGCATTTGACTGATGGTGATTTTGTCAATTTTTAACTGTTTTAAATGTAATTCCAGTGCTTTTGGAATAGCACCCAGTGTGCCAATTTATTATTATTATTATTATTAATATTATATCCTGTCTTTCTTTCAGAATCTTAGGGTAGCAAAACCACTCTTTCAATTCCCCCCTGCCTGCAATAATAATTCTTTTAGGTAAGTTGGACAGAGAAGGCTTCTGTGCTGAAGAGGGAAATTGAACCTGGATCTCTTCAGCAATAATCCTTTAAGCCAGTGTTTCCCAACCTTGGCAACTTGAAGATGTCCGGACTTCAACTCCCAGAATTCCCCAGCCAGCGAATGTTGCCAAGGTTGGGAAACACTGCTTTAAGCCATAGATGAACAACCCATTGGTCCTCAACTGAGATCTATTTGCATTTCAGGTCTATTTACTCAAGCCAGTATTGCTGATGCCTGATTATGGAAGCTGTGTTCTAAAATATATGTTATAGAGCACAGCAACTTGCCTATCCTTGGTTTATATTTTTTGACACTGGTTTCATTTCCTTCATATCATGTGAGAAAACTATCAAGCTTCAAGGAAGAAACTTAAAGTGGTATGCCTCTTAATGAACATAGTCCAATAAACAATATTACTCCACCGGCTTTGTCCTTCTCCTTTCTCAAGGGTTATCATTCTCAAATGATTTTATACCGAGCACAAGGATCTGAAAACTGTGATTTCACTGGCAGCTCTCCTAAGAGATGCTATCTCTATCTTGCTTTATTGCAGTAGAAGTCATTCCAAAAATTGTGTTTGGGGTGGCCTATATATTAGCCCATTTCATTCTATATTCTCAAGGGTTTCAGAGCACCTGAAACCTCATTGCTTTAGACTGTGTCACGTTGTCCTTGCTGCAATCCTAATCTGTTCTACTTTTGAATGAAATGAACAGTCTTCAAGGAAAACTACTATCCATGTTAAAGAAACAGTATACAGCTCCATTTGGTATGGTTTTCTATGGAAGGAGATGGTCACCGGCATTTGGAAAGCTTTTTGGCTGCAGAGTTTTGCAGGACTCAGTTCTGTGGGATCAGTTCTCACGAGGGACATGGAAAGGTTCCCTCTGCATCACATCAGAAGCACCACAACTACTTTCTCCTTCCTCTATTAACCAAGCATCAGGGGAACAATCTTTTTCCAAAATGATTCCTTTTCACCTTCAAGACCCAGCATCACTTACAAACCACATCAAAATTATTAACAAGTGTTAGAAAAGGATAACCTTTTCCCCACATCAGGGAGTCAAACTTTCTAAGCAAAAGAAGACCGCATACAATCAGACATTGGGTGTCACATCGTTTCATTGTGTGGTCACCACAAACCAGGCTCAGGGTTATTGTGAAGAATACTGACAAAGAAAGTCCTAACCTCAGCAAACACTTTTTTTTAAAGGAAGATTGAACTGTGATGAGTATTTAATCTCTCCTTTCTCTGTTCGATGGTGATGCTGAAATGTTCTCTTTGGTTTTTTCTAATTTTTTTGTTTTTACTTTTTAAAATTAATTTTATCCAGATAGTTACCAAATTTTAAAAAAATCCTGACATATTAAACATTTTTCATTGTTACTAGCAGGAAATTCTACACTGGAGAAAGTATACATTTACAAGAGTGTGTATGGGTGTGGAATGAAAAAAAAATCAAGAAGGAAACTGAAACTATCAATCACCCCATGATTCAAGTCAGGTCAGTTTCTTTCAGGAATCAAATGATGGTTTCACCACTATAGGGCAGAAATCCAGAGAATCAAGTATCAATCCAATACGTGAATCCTAGTTTTGACCATCTAAATTTTATACAGTTGTAAACCAGTGCTACTATTATTATTAACATAATTTGGGTTAGAGTTAGGGTTAGTAAAGTAATTCATAATTGAGGAGTAAGAAGAGAAATATTTTCACTCAATGACATATAAATGAAATATTTCTGCAATGCAACAATGGCTACCAAC